ATACCACAGGGATCCATCCCAGGCCCTGTACTGACCTCTTTAAACATACTCCCTTTAAGGTGAATCATCCAGAAGCACAACCTCTCATACCACTTTTACACAGATTAAAATTGGCTTTATCTACCCATCAAATCAAATAATATGTCAACGGCAGGAACCTTGGCTGTTTTTTGATACTTGCTTTATATATGCAGTAGTCAAATCCAGCTCCTAGTAGCTTCGTACAATTTCAAAGTTAAAACCAATCAGTGACTTTGAGGCAGTAATTCATGTGTTCATGTCCTCCCAGCTTTACTGCTGTAATTCTTTATAAATGGGGATAAGCCAGTCGTCGCTGTCCCGCCTGCAGCTGGTCCAAAATACTGAAGCCATGCTGCTGACTGGGTCCAGGAAGAGGCATCATATCCCTTCATTGACGCCCAATACTCCTCAGAATCGATTTTAAGTTGCACTGTTTGTTTTTAAAGCCCTGAATGGCTTGGCTTCCCTGTACGTAACTGACCTCATTAACCCTTTAGAATCTAACATTGGACTCCGGGCTGTTTCTTGCTCACAGCTCAAGCTCAAAGGGGATCGTGCCTTTGCAGTCAAAGCCCATAAACCGTGGAACTGCTACCCCTTTGCATCGGGTCTGCTACCTCTATTGACTCTTTCAAGTTTTTATATGTTGCAGTGGTCCTTAATAGGCAGTTTCTATCAGGTTTTCTAAATTGCTTTCTGTCTTATAAATGTTGTAAACTCCTGTATTGGGGCGGCAGTAGCTCAGTCTGTAGGGACTTCGGTTGTGTCTGACAACTGAGGGTCACCGTTTCAAGTCCCGGTGCGAACCAAATCTGGAGAGGTGCCAGTTCACTTCCTGAGCACTGCTGAGGTGCCCTTGAGCAAGGCACCGGACCCCTCCTCCAACAGATCAGAAGCGCTCGATGTGGGCAGCCCCCTCACTCTGAGATCTCTCCATTACTGCATGTTCATGGGATCCTGTTTGTGCATGTGTGTGTATTTATGAATGTGTAGCATGTTGTTTCTTTAATGCTTTGTACAGCACTTTGGTGTGTTACTGCTGTTTTTTTCAATGTGCTTTATAATAAATGTGACTTGACTTGATTATTCTAATTTTTTAACAGCAACAAAAGGTGTTCCACAAGGTGCCGTTTTAGGCCCAGTTTTATTTACTATTCATATAGACTATATTGACTCTTCTCTATCAAACAGTGATGTGCACCAATTTGCTGACGACAAAGTTTTATATTGTGCGGCTGATTCTGTACATCTTGCAGCCAAGAATTTGCAGCAGTCCTTTAATGGGCAATTGGGCAACTGGATCAATAAAAAAAACTGACATTCAACTTTCACCATAATAATCTCATATGAAGACTTAGGCAAAAAAACCTTATTTTAACAAAGATAAAATGATGTTCCAATGTTCTGTAGGAAGAGGGTTGTGGAGTCTAAACTGATTAAGCAATGCTAGAAAGCTACAACTAATCATGAAGACAATCTGGCAGAGGGCTTGTGAAAGTGGACTGGCTGAATGTAATAATAATCAGGGATAATCAGGCAACGGGAACAGGTGTGAGAGGGGGGATGGGCAGATGAGCTGATTCTACAAGCAAAGAGGCAAACGGGAGGGAGTGGATGGACCTGAAACTGATTGGTTGAATCACTGATTGGTTGAATGATTGATATGAAATATCTGTACATGACTGATCCTCTGCATGTTACTGATTTATTCCATTATGTTGCTATTTATTTTGCAGAAGGAACAGATTAAGCATTATTTTCCCGTATATATCCTGAAGCGATAATACTGTTACATGTTGTTTTCTCAAGCATAAAGTTGGTCTACATATTTTCAAAGAACAATTTTACACTTCAGCTGTTTAAGATCAGAACATCCTTCATGTGTCAGAGCACATTAGACACAACGTGTTCACTGACAGACACTTTCGATGAATGTCTGGTGAAAATGTCACGCTTCTGACTCTACATGCGGCTGCATTTGTAATGGTTAGAGTCATTCGGTTATCAGTGTTGTTAAGTCACAAAGTACAAGTATTTTAGTTTTTGCAACTTCTACTTTTACTCAACTATATTAATATTGGACACCTCGTTACAATATCAAATCTGAATGTAATCGTCTGTATTGGCTATCTGACTTTGCATGTTCGAGCAAAATCAATGCATTCTAGAGGGCTGTGTTTGGAGCAGCGGGCAGATTTATCATTGCTGTGGGTTGGAGAAGGTGGTCAAAAAAGTCACTGGGTGTCCTGGACGGTCCCTGATAGCTGGTGCTTACAACGACGAAATTAACAACTGACGTGGAAAAGAAGATTAAAGTGCACATATTTAAACACACCACAGAGAAATGTGTCACACTTTGCTGCAGAGACATTCACTGAGACATCAGGGCTCTTGCTTTGTAAACTCTGAGGGCCTGATTCACAAAAGGATTGCGTGGCTTTTGGGCCCACTAAACCAAAAAGACAGCGTCTTAATCAGAAAACACTCAGCAAACATTTAATGCACCTCTTACTATGCTACAGAGCAAACAGCCTCTCTGTGCGGCAGTGCACGCCCTGAGCCGTTATGCAGTCATCTTGGGAAAATTTGCCACCCTTTATACATAAATAAATAAATAAATTGGCTTCATTGCATAAAGCATCTAATTCACAAACAGTCACGCACAGTTATAGTGAAAATGTACCGTCTGCTGGCTGCAGAACACATTCATATTATCATCCTTTCATGTTCTATCATGGTTTTATCAAATTAGTCTTTTCTTTGGTGTCATGGTTCAGTCACACATCTTTGAAAGACAGAAATTCCCTAAACCAAGTCGTTATTTGGTCGAGTCAACTGATTGGTGAGTCCGCGCGTCACTGTATACGAGACAGTTGCAGCAGCTCGATTTCAAAAGATGATTCCCTTTGTATAGTGACGTTCAGCGTCTCCTCTCTGGACAGGTTTTTAATTTCACGCTGCAGAAAGAAGCAATATAAAAATAGCTTTGTTCCTGCTGCTGTCTCTGAACTGAACAAGCAGTAGCCATATTTGCACTATTATTTATTTACTTATGTCCCAAACTGATTTTTACCCTGGCTGAAGATACTATTACTATTATTATTCATTTATTTACTTGTATTTTTTAAAGGTTTATTATGGGGCTTTTTAAAGCCTTTATTTTTAGAGATAGGACAGAGAGAGAGAGAGAGTAGGAAATTACATGCCACAGGTCAGATTTGAACCCTTGCCACCCACTTGGAGGGCACTAACTACTTGACTACCGTTGCTGGTATTTGTGTTTATTTATTGATTTTGTTAGTTGAGACTTCTCTCTCCTTTATGCCCTGATGCACTTTTATGTTTTTATCACATCTCAGTAGGTTTTAAATAGTTTACCTTCTCTCGTGTTGTTTCTTGTTACATCTGTTTTATAATCTGTGTATCATGATGGATTTCAATCTTGCTAGCGCCAAACAAATCTCCCTATTAGTCTTGTGTCTTTGGACTTGTACATTTTTCTTTACTAATTTTAACACCGGAAAACTTTGATACTTAAGTGTCAGTGTGATGCTTTGGCTATACTTTAAGACTTTGACGAGTAGTTTTCTTTAAGGTGACTTTTACTTTTAGTTAAAGGTCACATATTCTCCTCCTCTTCAAACAGTTTGAATAATTCTCAGAGCTCCTCAAAACATGTGTGTGAAGTTTCTTGTTCTAAATCCACTCTGATCCTGTATTTGATCATGTCTATAAACCCCTCTATTTCAGCCCTGCTCAGAACAGGCTGTTTCTGTGTCTGTACCTTTAAATATGTAAATGAGCTGTGTCTGACCACACCCCCTCTCTGGAAGGGCTTGGGTGTCTCGGTCTTTCTCGCTCCATGTCCTATTGTTTACAGTGAGAAGGCAGACTCAGAGGGCAGAACAAACACCTAGCTGTGGGAGTGTCACCCACCTGGGGGAGGGGTTACTGCCCTTTGTGATGTCATGAAGGGAAAATCGCCAAACAGCCTGTTTGAGCACACATTTTCTGAAAAGTGGAGCAAGCAAAAGATGGAGAGGATAGACTTTTCTTATGATTGGGGTTTGTAGACAGACTGGAGACACATGTTAGAGTTAGAAACACTTGATGAAGTGTATTCTGCATATTATGGGACCTTTTTAAGTTACCTTCAAGTGAGGTATACTTTTATTTGAGGAACTTTTTTGCTCATTTTTGAATGTACACTATAATAAGGGTGTTTGTCACAATTCCCCCTTGAGACCAAACTGGGTGTAAACGTTGTTGAAACTTTTTGCAAGCAACTACATTGCACCAACATTTGTCTAAATTATTATCGGAACATCTCACGTTTCAACAAAGTTTACAGCCTATTTGGTTAAATTCACCAATAAACACACAGCGCTGTGTGTGTATGCATGTCTGACTGTGTGTGTATGTGGAGCTCTCACTGTGCTGTGGTTCAGCCACCCTGAAACACAAAGTGATAGAATATAGGCCTCAGTGTTTTTTTATGATTACCAGCCTTTTGCAATTACACCAAAAAGTAGATTTTGGACAATCCTCAGCAATTTGTAAACATTCAACAATTAATATGAAAATCTCATGAAACAATACAACTCGGCTGTAGTGGAGGGCTTTATTGAGGAAGTTTCCATTATTCTTCCATTGACATGACTCTATATTGACAGTGAATCAAATCCTGTACATGCAACATAAAATATTTTTTGTATTAAGGCCATCAAATGTGCTGCAGCTGCTCTTACCTATCAGCAATAAGAACACATTGTATGGTACTTAAATAAATGCAACCAAGTAAGAAAAAGTCCATTAACAAGTTTTCCTTTTTGCTTTCCCATATAAAGAAGGCTGATCTCACCCAATTAAAGACCAAATGTAGGTCTATGTAGAATAAAACCCCATTGTGACTGATGATTCTGAAATGCACGTTGTACTGACCTCCGACCCTCTGCCCCCCCTCTCTCTCTTTCAGGGATCTTATCTGCAACAGGAAACGGCTATGTCATTTATATGACTGTTAAACGGAAGACCAAACTGAAGCCTCCTGAGCTCATGACTGTTAATCTAGCCATCTTCGACTTTGGAATATCAGGTACTGGTTTATGTCTACAGTTACCATGGAGACGACTAGAAATCTTTTGTTTTGACAAAAACTTCAACTTTATGGGGACATTGAAAAATGTGCCATTGGTGCCACACTTGATTTGCCTCCTCTCTGAAAAGCCTGTCTTATTCCCCTGGTTGATTTAAAAATCAGACTAGAAAAGGACTGCTGTGATTGACCTTTGTGGATTGATTTATTGGTTTTTATAAAATATTGAAAGGATTAACCTTGTCGAATACCCTCAGTTGGCCCATTTTTTCAAGTTTATTGAAGGATCCAGGGATTATAAACTTAACATAATAACATTAAATGTATGAGAGAGACCATTTAATGTTATTATGTTAAATTTATAATCCATTAAATAAATAAACTTATCTAACTCACATATCCACTCAGCCATTATCTATACTGCTTTTCCCATTCCTTTTTTTTGGGCTGGAGCTGATCTTGCTGGAGCTTTCATAGGGGGAGATGCTGGTTACATCCTGGACTGGTCGCCAGTCAACCACAGAGCTGACATATAAAGACAGACAACCAGCCACACTCACAAAAACACCCACTGCCGATTAAGAGTCACCAGTTAACCTAACGAGCATGTGTTTGGACTGTGGGAGGAAGCCAGAGTATCTGGAGAGAACTCACACATTGACAGGGATAACATGCAAACTCCACACAGAGGGGATCCTGTACGACTGGGATTCCATCCAGGAACCTTCTCCCTGAGGCAACAGGGCTAACCACTGCACACACCATGCAGCCATGAGTCATCTAGTAGAAGGAGAAAAAGCCTTAGTGCCAGATTTGAACCCTTAGTTTGAGTACAGACGTCACCGATCCCACCAAATCAGAAACAATAAGTTTCAAATCACTGGTGAATTGGACAATAGGAAAAACACACAAATAACCCGGTGTGCTCAAACTGTGAGCTGATCGTTTGATTCAAACAGGGTGACATGGGGGGTAGGTCCGTCCAAGACCTCTTTCAATCGCTCTTCAATGGACAAAGTTACATAAAAGGAAGGTTCATTTTAATGTCGAAAGCTTCCAGTGGCTCCGCTGTGTCTAAGCTCTGGCAGTCCGGAGTCGGAGCATGGAGCATCTATATACACGGGCACATATGCACGTGTGTGATTACTTCATAAAAGTCTCACTTTGGTGTCATGGAACCACGACCATACAGAAGTCTGTCTGTGATAAAACAAAATCATTTCTCTTGCTTCTATTTAATGGAAATCTTCTCATCCTGAAAAACAGGAGATTAATACATGTTAAGGGTGTCCTTCTCTCACACATTCTGCTCCATTCAAACCTTGAACATCCTTGCTATAACACTGCCAGCTAGAAGCAAAAGAGCCTGAAGTCAGTAATGAATGTTGTCTTCTAGTCTGTTATTTATCAATTAGTGTGAATAATCTACGTTTCTGCAAAAAATGAAACAACCTTTAGACGCATGATAAAAAGGCATAATGACAAATCCAAAATCAGGAGGACAACATGTTCCTGCTGTATCCCACATTCATACACTGCACAGGTCAACTGCATCACTCAAAAGCATGCATGTTGTACTTCCACAACCACAAACTCACATTGGTGTAAGATCTTTATGAAATAGTCACACTTATGTGCATATGTGGGATGTGTAATGGCTGGCACTAATCTCATCATGTGTGTGTGTGGTGTTTGGCCTGTACAGGGCTCGAAGTGGGATTTAGCTGTAAGAGCACTAGCTGTTAAATTGACTTTAGCTTCCACCTATCCATCCATTTTCTTCCACTGATCCGAGGTCGGGTTATGGTGGCAGCGAGCGCAGTGGACTTGAGCGAAGGAACACTCAGTTAAAAGAAGTCAATTTATTGTGTTAGTTTGACGCAAGTTAACATCCAAACTGGCCTTTGCATTCTATGCATGCCCCATAGTTCCTGTGCTGGACTGTGCCGGACTGTGACCTGGAAGTGGCAGAGCATAAAAACATAGAAGAAAGCAAGAAAGAAACTGTACTGACATGGCAATTAGGGGTGTGAACGTGTACACGTGTAACCGGTTAGTAACTCATAACCGTTTAGGAAAAATCAATAAACGAAAACCGTTTTATTTTTTTATTTTTTTATTTTATTTATTTAATTATTTTAAAATGTTTTAGAGACACGCATTCAATCATCTCTGATCAAAAACAACACATACTGTTTATTTAAAGATGAATAAAGCTACAAATGTTCCACTTTAACAACGTTACTGTGCTCACAAATGCACGTGATAAATGATCACCGGGCATTACGTCACGTAACAAGTAAGTTACTTTTGACTTGCGATGGCAGCCAAGACTACTCAGCGAAGTGCGGCGTGGAGGAGCCGCACTTCTAGGGATTGACTCTGGTTCCGTTCATTGTTTGGACGTGCCTGTGCGGGTTCTGGCTTTCCATGCCGCCCTTTCGCAGCGGCGGTAACCGGTCGACTACGACCTCAGATCAGACGAGACAACCCGCTGAATTGAAGCATATTACTAAGTGGAGTGTTAACCTTCCTGCTTCACGTTCCAGCCGTGGTCAGGGCGCACAGGGGAGACTTATTTATCTGCTCCAGGGCCGAAGTTGTAGTCCTCAACTTGGGGGCTAACCCCTGTCACTTCACTTGGGTGCAGCAAGGTGTAAACAGACACGGAGAGTCCGGCTTGTTATTTTGACGAACCGGGCCGTTTATTACGCTCTCAGAGCTTGAACTGTACTTAACATCATGACTTTCTCCTGCTTATTCTGCTCCAGTCCCCGGCATCAGAACGTACCTCTCGCACACACCTGCCGAACACACACACTCGACTAGTTCTCTCTCTCCTCACTCGCTCCCCCACCCACACACATGCGCACTGAGCCCTTCACGACAGACAGACCCTGCTGGTATAACTTCTATGTTTTCTGTGTTACTTATATGGCCTACTTTATAAAGCACAATTGTATCTGTCTGACAACTTTGAGTGGCGGCAGTGATGCAGAGGAATCTTTCTGAAAAGCGGCTGCACCCTCCATTGGTTGTATAGCGCGATTGCGGTCCACTTTTCTTTTTTTTCTTATTATTATTAATTTTTAAAAAACGGTTAACCGTGTACACGAAAAAAAATGACGTTGTGTAACCGTTTACAATTTTTTGTAACCGTTCACACCCCTAATGGCAATAGTAAGAGCAAGAACAACACATTTTTAGATAGACTGTAAGCGCGCACTCACATTGCAATCCGTACAGTGCCCAAGCATGCTTCACCCCTAAAGGCCAGTTTGTTTGATTAGTGTGAGTGCTCCGATCTGGTCTCAAACACGGTACACTTCCTTGACCCTGGCACACTTAGAAGAGGTTACAGTTCATGCACGAGCACAAACATAGGTACACAACGCTGACAGCCTTCATTATGGCGAAAAGAGTGTTCTGTCTGTATCTGACTAACATGACTCAAAATAAGCCACAAAGTCAGTAAAGTATAATAAAGATAATAAACTTTATTTATATAGCACATTTTCAAAACAAGGTTTATAAAGTGCTTTACAGGATAAAACAACAAGGTCATGTTTGAGTGTTAATCATGGGACAGAAAGCACCATCAATAAAAACAACAGTAAAGCTTACAACACGGTAATAAAACATAATGATAAAAACAATAAAAACAACAGTAAAGCTTACAACACGGTAATAAAACATAATGATAAAAACAATAAAAACAACAGTAAAGCATACAACACGGTAATAAAACATAATGATAAAAACAATAAAAACAACAGTAAAGCTTACAACACGGTAATAAAACATAATGATAAAAACAACAGTAAAGCTTACAACACGGTAATAAAACATAATGATAAAAACAATAAAAACAACAGTAAAGCATACAACACGGTAATAAAACATAGTGATAAAAACAACAGTAAAGCATACAAAACAGTAATAAAACGTAATAATAAAACAATAAAAACAACAGTAAAGCATACAACACAGTAATGAAACATAATAATAAAAACAATAAAAACAGATGGAGGATAAAAATAAAGGATCACAAAAAGGCTAGACTATAAAAGTGTGTTTTTAGAATTAGTATAGCTAATAGTATAGCTGTCAAGTTATCCGATGTATGGACGCAGACCTTACAGCACGTCCCTTTTATTTATTTTAGTTTTTATTTTCCAGTCCGCCTGTCTTGTAAACTAAGGACGATTCATAATCACGTAAAGCCATGCATGTGTTGTATAACAACGTTATGTACAAGAGATAACCTCAGGCCCGGTTTGTCCTGGAGCAGTGTGAGTGCAGGCCAGAGGGGGAATGGGGAGGGGGGGCAATCATGCTTAAGCATAGTACGGGACAATTTTGCCTAGTGTGAGTGCACCCTGACACAGTTTATGTTGTGTCAGCTTTAGGACTTAAGGACATTTGTACATGGATGAAAGCCAATCAAGGAATGGCGACTGTCGATTATTGATAATGATGTAATAAGTCAATGGAAGGAGGTAGTAACTGACTGAAACTGGGGGTGGCTGTGTGGCTCAGTTGGTACAGTTGACGACTCTCAACTGGAGCTCCTGCAGCCACATGTCCCAAGTGTCTTTGGGCAACACACTTAACTTATGCGTATCCCATTCATAACCCCTGAACTGTGCATGTAAACACACTGACTGCTCTGCTTCACAATAAGTGTAAGAGTGTATACCAGGGGTGTCCAAACTACGGCCCGCGGGCCAACTGCGGCCCGCAGTTTTTATTGGCCCGCAGCAAATTCTGAAAATATAATTGAATATGGCCCGTACAAGAAGCTTGAGCTCAACTCTGTTGCACTTCTCAGTTTCAACACTAGATGGAGCCAGCCACAGAAACGGTGCTTCTCCACTAAACAAAATTAAGCAAAGAAAAACTTATACCGCGAAAGTAGTCACCAGAAATGGCAGCACCGAAGAAGCGCAAAATAGCTAGTGAGTGTAGGAGATTTCAAACACGGTGGGAAAATGAATATT